TAGGCTTCAAGTGAACATTTATTGAGTTCAAAACATGAATTACAGACACTTAAACAGAGAGGAGAGCAGAAGGTATTCCATCTGAGATGTTAAACAGACTTCACAAGTCTCAGTGGTACCAGAGAGTATACGTCCATGGCTACTATGTGTATGAGGTAGTCACTTGGACACCATTTGACCCTGACAGTAAAGGGCACATAATAGTTAATGTTTTACCATTGAACATAAAGATTTATGTCCCTATCACCTGAATGATTACCTGCTTCCACTTTTAACCTCACCCCCCATACTATATTCTTAATACAATAACCAAAGCAATCTTTCTAAAACCAAATTTTGATCGTCATGGCTCTGCTGAAAACTACTCACTGGTTTTCTATTTAAGTTAAAGCAAACACTAAAGCCACTTTATAAAAGTTTAACAATCCCTGCTTGAGCTGCCCTTGACCTCACCCTTGGACTCATAGTTTATTAGTCTCTCTAGTGCTCATTCCCCTCCAGCGACACTGTCCTTCATCCTGATGTTCTTTGAATATATTGGGTGCAACTCCCACATCAAGGGCCTTTGTACCTTCGGTTCCCATTGTCCAAAAAGTTCTTCTCCAACACTGTCACGTAGCCTATTACCTCCCCTCTTTCAAGTCTTCTTCTAAATATCACTCTGTTGGTGAGTTTCCATGCCCACCCATTTAAAATTGCACCTCTCCCTGCAAGTAATCTCTCTTTCATTTTTCTCATTTTGATCATCGGATACATTGAACATAATGATTATTTAGTGGTGGCATTGTTGTCATTATCATCATCATCATCTTTCTCTGTTCTCCAGAATACAGGTTTTATGAAAGCAAAATATATGGTAGGTGCTCTATGGTAGATACTTAGTAAATAAGTTTAAATGAATGGATAAAGCAAATGAATAAATAAACCCTAAAAAACGAGGTAGAGTGCTCTGAGGTGCACATTGACATAGACTCAAATGATAGAACATACTTATTCTGACACAGAATTGTTCTACCAGCAGGGAGAGAGTAGAAGTCTGAAAAGACAATTCGAGATTGGAAATATGTACATTAGTGTATACATCATATAATAATGACTCCTAGCCCAGCCAGGTGTGGCTCAGAGGTTGAGCATTGACCTAGGATCCAGGAGATCCCAGTTTGATTCCCGGTCAGGGCACGTGCCCAGGTTGCGGGCTTGATCCCCAGTTGGGGGTGTGCAGGGGGCAGCCAATCAATGACTCTCGCATCATAGATGTTTCTCTCTCTCTATGTCCTTCTTCCCTCCTCTCTCTGAAATCAATAAAGATATATTTTTAAAAAAAATGACTCCCAGTATTAATGCTTAGAGTGGGAACTGTTTCAGTTAATAACAGGTTCTCAGACATCTAAACATGAGGATATTGCCTTTGCACCAAGGCTCCAGCAGTATGTGCCACTAAATTCTAATGGGAAAAGATATATCTATATCTATACCTATGTCTATATCTATATCATCTATATGTATATGTATATCTGAATCTATATGTCTCAAACTGATATCAGGAGAATTTTTCAGAAATAAAATTCCAGAACTTCTGCTATGAACAGTTTTCCATTTGTGCCATGTCCCAAAACATCCAAAACTGTATTTAGAATCCTGATTTCAGAAGGTTGTGTAGTTTAGTAGAAAGAACATAGAGACCTATATTTGAATCTACTTTACTAGCTGTGAGTAATCAGGAAAGTCTGTGTCTCAATTACCTCATTTATAAATACATTTAGAATAAAATAGCATAGTCTAAAAATGCCAGGAATACCTGGTCCAAATCTTGGGTCTGTCATTGTTTATGAGCTATGGTTCTTTTCGTTTTGTTTATGAGCTATGCTTTGTTTTGAGCTATGTTTATGAGCTATGCTGACTGTGAGCTCTGCTTCTTTTAGTTTCTGCATTTGTAAGATGAGGATTATTATGTCTCATGCTGCAGTTGTGAGATCTAAGAATAATAAGGTGAGGTGCCTACCACGGTTCCTGTGTGCAGCAGATGCACATTAAAAAACAGCCGCATCTATCAAGTCTTTTCCCTCAGGATATTACAATAACTGACTCACATCATAATTAACCAGGTCATCAAGCCAAGTGAAAATGCTCCTTTATGAAGTAATAATAAAGTAGGCTTTCAATAAACATTTGTAAAATAAATAAAAAGTATAGAGATTATGTTTCATATATAGTATTTAAGGAAGCAGGACACTATAAAGTACATGTTTGAGAGAACTGCAGCAATCCAGTTTAGGAACTAGATAACGGAATTGCTAGATGCTATCTAAAGCATTTCTAAAGATTCATTTTTAAAAACATATCTGCCTGAATATGTGGTTTCTGTGTAACTTCAGAGGGCTGAAATTGGATTTGTAGGCAGATACTCCAGACTCAAAAATTTCAGTCCAATAAAACGAGGATGCACATATGACGATTAGTTTTTACAAAGGTTATGATCTGACTGCACATAAGTGACTTCTTGTGGCTTACAGTGTCCACGATGAGCCTTGATGGGCACAGTAAGGGGTACTCTCAAAAGCATTTCCATATGAGGTGAGAGTTGGAGGAGGTGAACTTGAACATCCTTTACCATGATCAAGATTTGATAATAAAATAATTATCTTAGCTGCCTTATAGTAACTGTAATAAGTACAAAAATGGTCTTTACACAAAACTCTGAATTAAAAAACTCTTTGCCTATCAGGAGGTAAATGGATAAAAAAGCTGTGGCACATTTACACCATGGAACACTATGGAGCTGTAAAAAAGAAGAATCTCTTACCCTTGGGACAGCATGGATGGACCTGGACAGGCTTATGCTAAGTGAAATAAGCCAGTTAGAAAAAGACAAGTACCACATGATCTCACTCGTATGTGGAATCTAATGAACAAAATAAACTAAACAGATATAGAGATATAAAACCAAGGAACAGTGTGAAAATTTTCAGAGGGAAGGCAGGGGTGGAGGAGTGGGGGGAGAGAGAGAAAAAAAGACTCTAAATAGACTCTAAAAATTTTAAAAGGCATATCTGCAAAGTTATTGTTTGTGTATATAACATACATATTCAGCTTCCATTGTCAACAAATTTGTGTTTTGTTTTATTTTAGATAGTAATTAAATCAATGTATATATTGTTATGTCTATAGAAATTAAGTACTATATTAATTTCTTCTTATGACAAAACTTTTAATGAAGAAACTACATTCAAAATTTTAAAATATCAGTAAATATATCAGTCAGGGATACTTAAATGTAGTTGAAAATAGGGACTAAAATTTGGGTAAAGAAGTAACTATATCAACAATGTGGGAAAGAAGTTTAAAAGTGAGCATTGTGATGGATGCAGCATGTCAAAATTATTTGGTAAAGATTTCCAAATAAGGCAGTTTATGGTGAGTTCCAAATTAGAAGCAGAACAATCTGACTGAAGAAAACTACAGATGAAAGAATTACTTTTTTGATTTCTGAAGCCATTCAACTGGAGGAACTCCAGAATATTCCCAGGCCCTCTCTTGCTAGGTGAGTTATGATGGAATTTAAAAACCAGTTTCACCTCAGATTTGTGGAATGAAAAGTATGGTAGTGCTAAGTCAACAATTTATTTCAGTAAAACGTGCTGTATGTAACATTTTGGACATGTGTTTATTCTTACGGCATCATAAAATTTAGGAAAATGGTCCTTTCCTGATTGCCTTTCTGTATTATTTCTAATAACCTTTGTTAAGTTGAAGTGACTTACTCTTTAATAGCTATCTCAGAATCATGGGATTTACAAATTTAATCATCTTTCAGAATGTAGTGTATAATTTTGGACTAAAATCATGTTGGATTTTTAGTTCCACAATAGGCTAGGGGAAAAAGCATAAAAACGCAATATACTCTATATTTGGAATCAATAATTTTGGCTTCCAATAACAAATGTTTGGTCTCCAGTGCCAAAGTGAGGTGGAAACTTCATTCACTCTCTCCATTACGCACTTATTAGCTCTCCCCTGTGTCCTAAGGCAAGTCTCCAGAATTTCTTTCCCTTATTCAACTGGCAACCTTCTCTTTACCAGGGACCACTTCTCCAATATTCACCAACATCTATGTTCTATTACTATGATGCAATTTTCTTCTACTTTCTATTTTTAAACCACTTTTGTAAAAATTGAGCTCAAGGCCTACATCAACATCAACAAAGCTTTATCTGCTTTCCCTAACTGCTTCACGCCCTTGACTTCTTCCTATGTACAACCAGCTCCCTAGACTCGCATTCTTTTATCCAGTAACTGCCTCCAGACTACTCTGTATGTATGTTTTAAATGCTGCTTGTCCTTCTGTCTATAAAAGTTGTCCAACTTGTTCTTCTCTCATTATTTAAATGATTTCAGAAATATAATCTTTACCACTAAACCGGCTTTAAAAAACAAAAGAGCTGATGCTTTTCTTTTGTCCCCTGTGAAAAACGGTGGAACCCCTGTGTCAAGGTCCCATCATGATTTAACAGTTTAATCAAATAACTGGTTTAATACTGCTGCTATTGTTTTTGTTTCAATTCAATTATCCATATGTCTTAGATATGTCTGTTAATGGTGTTTAAGTTTGCTGTTTTTCTAGAACATTGTCTTGGAAGGTAAAATTTAACACTATCATTTTGACAATATGACACTACAATCATAAAACTATACGTAGTTCCTGAATAAAAATCCAGTTTCCAAGATCTAAATTATATATGTGTGTGTGTGTATGCATACATACACAGAAACATTTGTTTATATAATTCATTTATATTATATATAATTGTATGTAAACATCTATGTGTATATGTATTTAAAATCTTTATATGTATGTAAATCACAATAAATAAACCCACTTTTTAAATGATGCGTATAGAACAAGACTATTACTTTTTAAGCACCCAAATAAATGATCATCTATTGGCTAATTGAACACTATAAGAAAGACACCATGGTGTGAATGTACAGCTTTGAATTACCTCTTCTTTTCTTGTGTCACGTTCTTTCTGCACAAACCAGATAACTTTTGCTTGCAAAGATCGTGGAGTGCATTCCAGCAACGTACTATTGTTCTCTATGCCATATGCCAGTCGCTCTTCAGTCTTATCCAAAGCATCCCCTACAATATAAATGTTATGATCAGCCTTAAGACTTTGATTTTACTGGTAAATTACATTTTTAAAAGATTATTTATTCAGATCCCTGCAGCAAAGTGAATAACTCTCATTAGTTATTGCTCATTTCGATGCAAGGTCACTTAAAGGAGTTTTCTTAAGAGTGAGTGGCATACCAAAATCTCAACACTGAAGACACAGCAGGCTACGGAATGGGACAGAAGGAAGTAACTGGAATCTTTTGGTTTAAAAGGATAAGACAATCACAACAGTAAAAGGATTCATCAGTGTTAAGTTTATGGAAAATCAGTGGCACGTGCTTAGCAAAGCAGGCAAGAGAAGATGAGCACCAAGTGCTCAAACAAGGCGTAGGACTCAATTCATGGTTGCAGACAAGAGCAGAAAGCAATCAAGGTGACAGGACGCTATGTAAACACAAGTGCAAATGGTATCTTGACAAGAGATGGCACTTATCCAGATATTGGGCCCCTGCAGTAAGAAAGGAATATGAAACTGAACTAAGGGTTTTGTGAACCAGAGCTTCCTGATTATAAACTGTATCTTGGATCAGAAAGGCTCTCACTGAACTTGAACCCTAGCATGCAGGCAAGTATACCTAACAGCAGAGGGGAATAGAACAAGCGGATTTAATTTTTGTTGTTTTAACTAAGGTGAAATTCAATAAGTAGATCCCAGGGCTTTTCCCTATGCCTGTGTCCTCACCTTTAAAACTGACCCCTAAGTTTCCCTAGGATTAAGATCCTGCCTTTCTCTAGCCGATATTCTCAGAGGCTTGATTCTTGCACCAAATCCTGAGTCAGCCTGGGGTCTAGCAAACTACTACTGGGCTGCAGTCTCTGGAACTGTGTATACACACTGCTGGTCTCCAATCATGGTGCCCCTTCCTCTGTTACTTCTGGTGAAACCAGTGACACTAAGCACAGCCCTTTCACCAGCCACCATCATGGTGTGAAGAGCCCCAGCACTGTTCCTACCTACCCCTGTTCCTCAGAAACCCACATCTGCACAACCAACCCAGCTCTAAGCTTATTCTACTCCAATGAAAAAGTCAGTTTTTCACTTTATTCTATCCCAAAATTTAGTAGGTAACTTAACACAAGTTAGATCACTCTTGATAGAAGATCCATATGTTATATAACAAGGAGAGGACATTCGCAGGGTTGAGGTGGAAAGAGGAGTCCTACGGATCAATGCCTGTGGCATTAGCCACCTAAACCATGCAGCATTGTTATTCTAGATTTTCCTGTTTTGAAGTCTAACAGTGAACTTCATAAAACTTCATTTCCTAAATAAGTAAAGAGTCTATGTCAAATCCACAACATTTTAACTACACGGAAGAAAAAAAGAATACTTTCAGTAACACTAGACTTGTATATATCAATCACAAAAGAAACCAAGGACCCCTTTTAAGAATTGTGCAATTTCTCTTCAATGTACACTCTAAGTAGCCCATAGCCATCAACTTTCCATGGGTTACCGACAAACTGCTGTCCAAAGCACTGCTGAGCTGCATTTCCATGCCGCACGTCTTGTCTGCGGAACCGCCTGAAAGAAAATAAATGCATTTAGGACATGTTCAGATTTCAATTTTCCAGACTTTAAAATATTGCCAACTGCATTAAAGATTCAAGTCGTATTCTGCTACTGACAAAACTGATCAGTCATACAATCCAAGGATAAATTCCAAGTTTCACAGTTTTCAATATTTCCATTGAATGCTATTCACTGGATAAGATCCTTATAAAACTGTTCTTTAAATGTTCACCTAAGTTTGAATTCTGGATACTGAAACAACAATTTAAGAAAGTTCTCTGTTCATTTCATTAAAAAATTAGTTCAAGAAGAAGTCTGATTTGAAATGAGTGTCTTGGGTGGTAAGGCAAGTGTGCAGAAAAAGACAGTGGAATTAGAGGCAGAGTATTTGAGTAAAAAAATACATGAAACTTTTCAATATAATAGAGTGCATGTGAAAAAAGGTATTTGAATCCAAATATTTTGCTCTACAGCCTTCATGATCAATTAATCCAATCACAGTTGCTAATTAAAAGATAGCTAATAACATATTTAACTTACTCTTTTATTCAGACATCACATGTAGAAATTATATGCCTCTACTCAGTGTGGTATGTTATACATTTTTAACAGGATATCTTGCAAGGCTGTCTATTAGAATCAGGATCACGTCTAGCATGTTTTCATATTTTACAGGTTGTTTAGAAATACAATTGAAAGAAATAACATTATAGAAAAAGAATTTCAGAATATACATATCTTGTTTTAAATTTGTAAGTAGCTTTCTGAGCAATTAAACATTGGAAGTTATCATTATTAGTACTGGAATTCTAAAATCAAGATCTTCAGTATAATAATTCAGATTAGAGATAAAAATAGAAGTATTACATAAAGGCAGAAAATACCACTTGCTTCTCTAAATCATGGCATTTCTTCAAGACTGTGGGAAAAACAGAAGGCAAAGCAGAAGTTTACCCCAGAGAGAGACGGTGAGGATTCCTAAGTGACGATGAGAAGCTTTAACCATATGCAATGAAAAAATTTGGAAAAGGGAACCAGATTCGAACCCCAATGCCACCGCTCACATGCTGTATGACCTGACACACCCTTTTCCATTGCCTGGGTCTTTGTGCCCTCCTTTGTAAAATAAGATTGGTCTGACACCTAAAATCTATTCTAGTTTCTTTTTTTTTCATTCTCGGTTCCCTTCACTACCTCTCCATAACGATAAAGGAACATTATTTCAAGAGAGGAGTGCATTCTCACATATGAGTTCAGGTCTTAGTTAACAACTCAATACTAAAACAATGATGGTTTAAGAGCTTCCTTACATTGAAAGCTGGGGCAGATGAGCACTTCCAATCAATTTTTAGTATTATGACCTATGTATAAAAGCATGTTGTTGTTTTAATAAAAACTGTCTATTAGAAAACCTTGCCTACAGACCTGGGATTTTACAAAGTTAAGATTAAATCTGCCACATGGATCATTCTACTGGGCTAAACTGAAAATAGAAGTTGACAAAAAAAGTAAAAAGTTGTATGCTTCTATATTAATTCATACTAACAGGTACAGCTATTGTACAACTGGTGGCAGCTCTAGATGAGATCTGAACTGCTTTTGTTAAGCCCTGACCAAACTGAATATTTCTTTGGTACTGGGAATACAAAGCGTTTCGAGCAACGCTGAATAATGGAACAGGGCAAATCACTGACATGAGAAATGGTTCCCACTTTGCAGAAACGATGTTGTGTCATGTGTATTACACAAGTGATGTGAAAATAAAGGAAACTCCATTCTGATAATTCTAGATAAGCGATGCCAATAATAACCATGCAAAAATTTGTTTAAAAACACTGGGAAATACACTTAAAAAGAAAGGTATCACATCCTCCAATGCCTTCACTCATTCTGTACTTTCCTAATCCAGCTGTCCTTTATTTCAGCATTTAAAAAGGAATGTAAATGCTCAGGAGTTTTAGAAAGGTTATCCAAAGTTACCTTTTATTCTCAAGATTGCATATTTTTCTTATATCTCTTGCCTCTTAGAAACTTTTAAAGAGAACACTGGAAATAGACAAATTACAAGAGCAAGGAGAAGAGAAAGACCAAGCTCTATAAATTTTAGTGTATTTTGGAAGACTATTTTAAACAAGTGGTTTTGATTGTGTATTAATATTTTTTTCTCTGTTGACTCATTTTCACTCTATGAACAGAAAAGTATTTATTTTAATGACCAGTTTTTAATTTCTGCTGCTAGTCAGGTCTGAAGCAAAATGATCTGCTATAAAAGCAAACTATTTTCCCTTCATGTGCTGGAACTTATCCAAAAAGTCCTCCTCGCAGGGTGAGTGATGGTTCCAAAGAATCTGACACCCCTGAAAGATCTCCATTACATGCCACTGAACTGAGCTAATTCATTCATGAGCACGGCTCCCAACTCCAGCATTGCTCCCCTTCCTGTCTACAATTTTGCCCATTCATTTAACTTTTTCTAAATAACTCTTTTTGTCTACCCATTTAAAATACATTACCAAGCTTTTGGTTATATACCATTATATCAGGCAATATTTGGCAATGGAAACTCCTCAGTTAAAATTCATCATCACTATTAAATGCCTAATAAAAAACCTTGTTATTCATAAGTATTTGATGCAAGGCTTATAAACATTTTTATTGTTGCTAATAATAAGGCAATAATTAGCTTTATTATTTTTGGCAGAATTACCTTTCCACCATCACATCCTGCTACTTCATTCCTAACCTATGGAACTATAAGATTTCCCCTGAACATTCTATGTCTTTGTACAAACAATTAGTTTCCTTTAACTGGAATTGCTTTGTATCTCTATCTTCAAAATTGAATAAAAAGCTTGGGTTATTTTGAGAATTAAACATTGTATTATGGTATTGCACTTAGTCCAGTACCTTATACCTAGTAAGTGCCCAGTAGTAAGTTACTTATTTACAATTCCATTCTCCACTTTACATTCTTATTTCCTATAGACAAGGGGCTGTGACTGTTTCTCTATACCTCTCACACATAGTACAGTCATTGGCTTAATGGGTGAATAAGCCATTAAATAATATATTGAAATAATAACATGGCTATATACTATATTCAAATATCAGTAAGTATTTGTATAAAATCAATTAATTTACTTGATTCTTTAATACAGTTAGTAAGTTATTTAGTTCACAAATGTCCTCTGGAAACATATTTTCACTCTGCTAATTATATCTTTCTTTACTCATTGAAATGTTAACTTAGCTAAGGTCAAATTAAGAAAAGTTTTGAATTAATGACTATGTTGTTTTCTTTTTAAAATGAGATTCTACTATATACATGAACCTATAAAAATAACAACTATGTTAAACTGGGTTAAGTTAAATTTTGAAAAAGTTTAAAGAAAAGTAACCCAAAGTGAAAGAGTAATAATAATTGAAGTTAGTAAAAATTGCTTTTCAGCAAGGACATTGTATAAAGTTCTGTGCTTTTGCTTAACATTATCTTTGATCACTTTATTAAGAGGAAAAAAAATAACAGATTGTTCTAAAGTATATGAAAATAATTCCCCCAAAGAATTTCATATGGCTTGAGTGAAGAAAAATTCTTATCCTTCCAAATTCTTGCTACACCTCAAGATCTGCTGTTCAAAGAATCCTGAGATTTACCATCTCTAACAAGTGGCAATGACCTTGCTGCACTGTAGACATTAGAGTTTGGAAGTCTTTAAGTACCTTTCATTTGTGTTGAATTAAATCACATGTTTCATTAATTATATAGGTCATGCATTTGCCTAGGAGTTAAAATATTCACTTTCAAAATGAAATAAATGAAGACCAGCTGGTTGAGGGGCATGGGGCAAACGCAGGATGTATTTTAGAATTTATTTATTTATTTTCCTTTTAAGTCTTTGAGTCCCTCATGTGTGGTGGCTTCCATTTCCACATTTTAAGTTTATCTAAACTGGTTTCAGGTCTTGCAGCAAGTTTCAGAAGGGGGAAGAGTTGATTGAAACTTGGGTGGAAAAATAAAAGTCCAGCAGCATGCTCAGCTCTGGTCTCTACACAGTAATTGATTAATTGATGGGAGTTTTTCAGGAAAAATTTAAGTTTTCAAACTTATATTATGAATAAATTATGACTATGATGATTAATTTAAATAAAAATAACATGGTTATTTTCATGGAATGGGTGCAGAAGAAGAAAAAAGTGTCAGCATTTTTCTAAACAAGGGAAATATTCCATCAAGGATTCTGCCTCACCTCTTTGCATGTGTGCCTGTTGGGTAATACCGGGAACAGGATATGCCATCCCAGGCACAGTAAGGGTCTCGAGCCAGGCAGCAATCAGCACAAGCACTTCCATACAGGTCACACTGATGGAATCTCACTTGGGCCACGGCAGAAGCAGATCCAACATACAGCTGTTGCTATAACATAAAGAAGAGAGAGGCCACTAGCAGAAATGGACAGAACTCTCGCTTAGCTCTTACACTTAGATTTTCACATTTATACACAATTACCTCCTTGAATATGCACTTAAATAACTACAGTTACTCAGGATAGATAATGGAACATTGATACTTTAATTTCTCCAAGATATGAAATACTTTTATAGACTTGGATGTATGAACAACAAAATTGCTAGTGACTTGACAGCTCTCAAAAAGTTGACTATTATTTTATTCATTGTCTAAGAAGAAAGACTGTTTCATTATCTAACATTTTAGGTCTTTTTAAAAGATTTATAGGGTCAAGCAGGGCATGGCTCAGTGGTTGAGCATCGACCTAGGATCCAGGAGATCGAGGTTCGATTCCAGGTCAGGGCACATGCCCGGGTTGTGGGCTTGATCTCCAGTTGTGGGTGTGCAGGAGGCAGCCGATCAATGACTCTCTCATCACTGATGTTTCTATCTCTCTGTCTTCCTCCCTTTTTCTCTCTGAAGTCAATAAAGACATATTAAAAAAAAAATCTATAGGAATGTTCTGTAAGAGATTAAATAAGAAAATGGTCTATTTTTAAAAAAAATCTTCACCCAAGGACATGTTTAGAGAGAGGAAGGGGGGGGGGAATGTGAGAGAGAAACATCGATCAATTGCCTTCTTATACGTGCCCCTCCTGGGAATTGAACCTGCAACCTGTAGGTGGACAAGACAATGCTCAACCAACTGAGCCACTCTGGCCAAACAATACTGGTCTATTTTTTCATTTTTTAAATTGATATAATTGATATGTAACATTACATTAGTTTCAGCTATACAGTGTAATAATCTGATATTTATATATATTGTAAATTGATCACACAAATCTAGTTAACATCCCTCACCAAACACAGGTACAAATATTTTATCCTTGTGATGAAAACTTTTAAGATCTATTTTCTTAGCAACTTTCAAATATTCAGTACAGTATTAATTATAATCACCATGCTGTACATTAAGTCCCCAGGACTTAGGTATTTTATAACTGGAGGTTTATACCTTTTGATCACCCCATGCCTCTGGAAGCCACCAATCTGTTCTCTGTACTTATAGGCTCCTTTTTTTTTTTAAATTGCACATCTAAGTGAGTTCATATGGTATCCATGTCTTTCTCTGACTTATTTCACTTAGCATAATGCACTCAAGGACCATCCATGCTATCACAAATGGCAGGATTTCCTTCTTTTATGGCTGAATAATATTGCATTAGATATAGTATGTACCGCATTTTCTATATCCAGCCATCCCTCAATGGACACCGGCGGTTTCCATTCTTTGGCCATTAAAAAAAATGCTGCAATCAACAAGGAAGTGCAGATATCTTTTTTAATTAGTGTTTTCATTTTCTTTAGATAAATACCCAGAAGTAGGATTACTGAAACATACGGTCGCTCTATTTTTTAATTTTTTGAAGAACCTCTATGTTTTTTTCCATAGTGGTTGTACCAATTTACATTCTCACCGAGAGTGTACATTGATAAGTCATATTTAGAAGAGTGATGTAGATATGCATAGAATGAAACAGAATAAACTCTAAGATATGTCGTTAAGTTAAAAGGACAAGTGGCAGAACAATTAACATTGCATGTTCCCATTTGTCTAAACATAAAAGGTTATTTACTAATAAATTTGAGGAATATATGCAATTATTTCTGAATATATGCAACTATTTACTGATACACTAGAAACTGGTATCAGTAAAATAGAAGGGAGATTTGTGTTTCACTGCACAAGCATTTTATGTTACCATTATTTTGCAAAAACATTAGCAAAAAATTATAAAATAATGTCATGTAATTGCAGATGTAAATCTCATGTCTACCTTTCTAAAAATAAAAAAAAATCTATTACATGTGAATCACTAAATATTTTTGTCAGAATAAAACTGTAACTTGTTCAGATGTAAGCACATGTACTCATGTTCTTTATCCTTTGACCTTAACTCGTACACAGAACACACACACACAACTTACTCTCTTTGACGAAATCTCCATAGAAATAATAGGAGCTGGATCCTGAAAAGTTAAAATAGGTTTTCTTTTAAAGGAAGGAAACATAGGAACATACTTTAATGTGGTTACAAATTACCTAAAATCATATAATATGTGAGTAGTTTTATGCCAAGAAATCTACAGCTTTCATTTTATAAATCGATAGGCAAATACAATTATTAAAATACAGGTTCCTATTTAAAACCCTTTTCCAAAGGAGTGGGACAGGTATGGAACTGAGAAAAGTAGTGGATCATTTAAGCAGCTTCCTATTTGTTCTGAAATGTACTTTTTGTATTTGCATTTGAGTATTACTCATGTTTGGAAACTCAAGTATCTTTAAATAAGACAATCAAGTCAGAGTGTTCTTTCTTGTGTGTGTATGCATATATACAATTGCTTTTGCCATGTCTAATCTTTCCATTACCATTTTTTTGCATTTTTTCTTCTTTAGTAAATTCTCTGGGTAATTGATATACTATAATGTGCTTATCATATCACAGTGTTCCTAGTATAAAACCTACTGTTATTTTTTAATTGTCTATTTTTACTGTACATTTGTGCAAGATGAAACTTTGCAATAATCATTCTGGAATTTATATGTGATATGTGTTATTTCTTTAAGTCACAGTTCATATATTGAAATTCTTCTCGCATTAGATAATTACTGGCCTCTTCATTTGAATAGTTTATGACAATAAAATAGATGCACCAGGATTTTAAATCATTCCTCACTTCAGATCACTCTGAATTCAAAACATACTTGTTAGAAAAAAAATTGACATAATATCTTTTCTATTTACAACTCACTTGGAATTGTCTGCAATACATAAATGTTGGCTGGATTATTTTCACTAAAAATACCTTGAATATCTGAAGTTCTTCTAGAATTACTTCTTCCATTGATTCTGTTTCTTGGTTGTAAATTGTGATTACTTTCAGAACAATTCCATTATCTGTAAGGAAAAAAAAGAGAGATAAACTAGGAGTTTTGTCACAATCTGGTTTTCAAACAATTCAAAGCCGTGTAGAGACTATGGATGCAAATAATGTTTGAAATGTAAATGCAATAAACATTTAATCATTACTAGTTAAAACAATGTATTTATGTCTTATGCTAGTTATATATTCATATTTTTAATTAGTAAAAAACTAATTTCATATCCTGGCAAAAAATTAAAGCAAATTATATATAATTATTTTTCAAATAATTTGATTCAAAAGTCCAGTTAAAGATTCAAATATCAAAATACCTTTGGAAGAAAATATAAGACAGATGTCAAATGATTCCAGCTTCTTCTGTGATGTATGATGAAAGAAAATTGTTTACCTAAAGCTACTTTTCTGGTAAGAAACTATACTTTTAATCTTAGGGAACTACATACTATGGAGATACATATGCACACACACTTTTAATAAGAAAAGCATCAAGTACACACTATTGAGAGAATAGCATAATGAGTCCTCCTGTACTAAACATTTAGCTTCCATAATTTTATAAATTTATGTTCACATTTTTAAATTGTAACTTATTTTTATTATTCCTGATATTCTGCACTTGTTATTTACAATGAAAGATTTAATAAGACACTAATTTGCCTGTAAAAATAATTTACTGTAGTGCTAGAAATAACTCAGAAAAAAAAATCACTTTGGAGGTACTGATCCAAGAGTTTCTGTGGTAGTTAACAATTTGTTTAAACTTACCAAATATTATATTTAAGTTAATGAAATTTAATTAAAATAAAACTAATAACAACTACTTGTATTATACACTAAAAGGAATACAAATTATCATAGTTCTTAAATCCAAGTACACTCAATAAATATGCCACAATTATTACATCAAGCAAAAAGCAAAGATGAAACTCAAATGATTTATTGGCATTAGTGATTTTGCAATAAGGACTTTATAGATAGGTAGGGAGGGAGGTAGATAGAGAGATGATGATAGATGATAGATGATGCTAGATAGATGATAGGTAGATAGATAGATAGATAGATATAGATAGATAATGATAGATTATATATAGATAGATAGATATAGATAGATGATAGATAGATGATAGATAGATGATAGATAGATAGATAGATAGATAGATAGATAGATAGATAGATAGATAGATGATAGACAGATAATATTAAAGCATGTGTCTGGTAAATTTGGGGGAAATAACTATTATTTGTGGGACTTTCCAATGTTGTACTCCTCACGCATTCATTAAACATGTTCTTTTGTGTTGAAAAGCTGTGGTACAATATAATTATATCTTTATGTTAAACGTGGTTTACATGATAACGTAACTATATGCCTGATATTTCTGAAATTCTCTCAAATAGCTTTGGTTAATCTAACAAGAAAGTATTTCTAAAAATGTCTTGGACTACTGTCCAGGACATTTAAAAATAACATACTTTTTTTCCATGATTAATTTTATCAAATGTGATCTTGCTTATAGAATTTTTTTTTTTTTAACCCTGTTGGATGTCACGGTGACTGAATTCATGGCCAGGTAATTTTAAGTTTGCTAAAGAAATCTGCTGCTTTGTTAATCTTGATCCCACAGTGCAGACCATATTACTAACATTAATCTCCTAAAATAAATGGATGAAATGTACCCAGCACCAGAGATCAATCTCTAGAAATCAGATGAATGTTTCCTTATTTAAATGTTTGCTTTTTCAAAAAGTATGACTACAAAAGCCCAAGTACCAATATTAATATTATGTCCTGATTCCTGGTCTGGGCTTATGCATTGCCTCTTTAGAATTATATCTCCACAATTAAAGTTATGTATATAGAGTAGCAACTGCTATAGCAATTACTATGATGCTTATGAAAAGAGAAAAAAAATGATCATTTAAAAAGTTTTAAAAATTATTATAGACTTTTAAAGTATGTGACAGAATTTGCTACATATAACTCTGGATGCTAAAAGACTCCAAGCTCTCTTCCACAACATAGTTTTAATGTATGGCATTAATTGAAATTATAGATTTCTTTGAAAATTTTACTTTTAGCATTTTTATTATGATTTATTTTATTAATTGCAGGATATTATAGCTTTGGTCTAAAAGTTTAGTTCCATTATGAGTAACATTTAGCTTGTTTGGTATTAATGGTTGATTCTGATGGGGCCTGATAAATAATGCTGTGACTACAGGTTGAGGTGAAGTTATTATCCCAAATGTTTAAAAAAATCTTGAGATCTTACTGAGCAGTTGAAGTTGACAATTGACCTGGGGAATGACAAGAGAACCAACCACATACAGCCCTTACTTTCTTTATAGGCTCTACTTGGAACCAGCATTGGTTACTAAAATCAGTTATTTGTTTCTTCATTTACTCATTTGTTCAAGTGTATTGAGCATGTATCATAAATTAGGTGCTGTAACTGTCCCAAATCCTCTCTTCCACTGCAGCAAATAAGGTGTGTGTAATAGACTGATGGATCAAAAGGATATTTGTTGATAGTTTTTTTTAATATTAATAATGTTATCAATTATATTGTTCAATTTAAATATTTCTCAGTCTTTCTAATCTCTTTACCTGTCCCAATAAACAAGACATCATATTGGCCATCCTCCGCTTCTACTTGATCCACTGCTATTTGTTTCAGGTTATATTTTCCATCTGTTTTTACAAGTATTGGTTTTTTATGGGCAGGTTTTATGGGCTGGTACATAAGTGGATGGCTTCTTGCAAATCGAATGGCATCATCGGGATAGTCTTTCGTGGTTCCATACCTCCCTCCATTCACTTTGCTGGCACACTAAAATACAAGTGGACAAGGTCAATTTTTATTTTTATTTTTGCCTTAAACCTAAAGAACAAATTTAAAATCAATTTATGAAAAGAATTAGAAAAACTGTATATGCTTAATTAACTGTGCATTTAGAAACATTTAGTAAGCATATATTCTTCATTACAGAAATAAAATCTACTACATTAAAAGCTGCAAGGAGATTCTGAATTATTTTAAACATACAACACTAGAAATACAGAGAGTAGGGAAATCTTGGAAAAGTGAAGTATATTTAATACTGGTACAGTTTGAAGGTGGTAAAAATCATATATATTGTAATTATTTCCCCTGTTTTCTGAAATTCATTTTTTTCAATGTACATTAAATTTTGAAGGTAAACAATGTATTGTTTAGAGCAAAACAAAAAGACTCTTTGTTGTGCTAAATGTTCCCCTCCCCAAATTAAGGATCACATCAGCACAAAATAGCTTTCCCATTATGGAGACTATGATGATATGATTGGTGATGGTTCCAATTGGCCTGCTGACTATAGAATTTAGTGTGGTAACATAGAAACCTTTTAAAATTCCATCATTATTGGTTAAGAAAAACCCTCTCTCTGTTCTACTGTAATCTGTATGAATTTGTATTATTTTTGATGGATTAGACAGAATAAATTGAGGAAACCAGAAATATTTGTTAAAACATGTCTCAGTTCTTAAATCACTGCCTCCAAAAATACACGTCCAACGGCACCTTAAGTTACTTCTTGGGATACCTTTAATTGTTGAATCATGCTTGTCATTAAGAGCTCCCTCATTTTGCATATTTTCCTCCAGAATCAACAGCAATTGCACTGATTATCTTGATAAAAATTTTCCACTTTAGAGTATAAATACAGTAGTTTAGTAATCAGATTCTGCAGAGAGGGCATTTTTAACGGTTTGTTTTAAAAATTGAGGCCATATTTCTTAATTTGGCCTGAATTTTTCACTTGAGTGTACTTTCATGATATATAATTGGAAACATTTTGGACCAGCCTGGAAGCAGTTCAGTAACCAGTCACTTCCTCCAAATCTCCTTTAATACCATGTGGTTTCAAGACGCTTTTCCAGCAAAGCCACAGGAGTGGGTTTTCTCCATTTAAATTGCAATTTCAATCAATGGAGTGAAATAAAATATACTCACGTCTTACTGGAAGTCATAATTTTAAGCTAGTGAGAGGGAGTGATTGAAATGGCAAAGCCTTACACTTGTTAATGGAGGTAAGTTTTGTTTCCACTTTGGATTTTGGCTCTGCAGGAAGGTTTCTACTTGACTTGCAAGTACTTGTGGAATCAGCATAGTGATGGGTTTTCACCAGCTGCTCCTAAAAGAGTAGACTGACTTGCATGACAAGTTAAGTGTTCTCCATGGCTCACGGAGTGCATAAAATGATCATACATTTGCTCAACCTAGTTGAGCACAGGATACAGGATACAAAACTCATCATTGTCATCATCATCACCATCGCCATCACAATCGTCTTTTTTAGGTACATGTGCATTAAAAGCACAAAAGTTTGAATGGCTGGTGAGGGAGAATCTTGGTAGCACCAGTTGAGAGGCAGAGGTGGAGCTTCCAGTACTTTCCAACACTTGTATTGGCACTTTTGTTCCAAGAGCCAGCAAGAATGGTAAATGAGATGCTAAGTGTTCTGAAGAGGCAGAGGAACAGTTACCTTTAGATATGCTAAAGTGAGAGTCCAGGAGAAAGTTTGGCTTAGGGAACTTGAAACCCAAATATTAGAATATAAAAATGTCTCCTGCTTGGAAATTACATGGGGCACTAATTCTTCTGAAGAGGCTGGGAGAAATAATACCATGCTCCTTTGATTGGATGTTTCCATATTCACTAGTACCCTTAAAAGTCAAATTTTTGTTGGGGTTACTTAGCCAAGATGTCAATGATAATACATACTTCATAATCCTGCTGAGGTGTATCCATCATAGATTCTTTTCTTTAAATAACAAGCATACAACTAGATATAAGAAGTGATTTTTCTTTGCCATGCAAGTGGTCAAGCACATTTTTAGGTGTAGGATTTAATTGTTTAATGTAAAGTTTTGTAAAACATCTGAAACAGTGAACAAAATATTACTAAAAGCCTTTAAAAAAATAAGACTACTTTTTAAAATGCCTAAACTTACAGAGCCAGGCCTTGGATAAGGGACTTTCCCTTCATAGAGTGACCAGTGGTATTCAGGTCCTTCCTTATGTGCATATGGTCCGTTAAAAGCTGCCCGAATGCTTGACATATGATAGACACATATAGCATGTCCTCTAAATATATTACTGAAAAATACAAACAAACAAACAAAGATAATTACTATTATGGAACAGACTAGAAGATTACCTAGTCAAACCCTCCAGACTACATAGATAAGAATGACGTCTTCGGGTAAAAAGTTGCAATCTCTCAAGTAAAGGGCATTCTAGAAATATTGGCTATTGCAATATTTCAAGAATTAAAACTGCAAAACTTAATATTTCTTTTCCTGTTTTTATAATAAATTGAAAATGATATTGTTAGAATAAAAAAAGTGCATAGTTGTGTCACTTCAGTTTATTATTGCTAATTTTATATCATATTTTTATATTTTTATTAAGAAATATATGGGTTCAATATTTTAAAAGATTCATTCCCAAGATGACTTATTCCTTTTAAGGTTTTATATCCTTGTATGTTATTCCATATTCAGAATAGACAGTGTTCCCCTAATCACCATGTTGTTAATATTGCTATAAATTCTATTCAAATTTTATTAGATTTCTCAGTGTATATTATCTGAATAAAAGCTAAAGCCTCATAAATATTTGGGGCTTTGTTCCATTCTTTACCTTGGGGTCATGTACACATTAAGAAGCTCACTGTATATTCCTTCCTTGAGGTCACTGAAAACGGTGCAAGAGTGGAAAGATGACTGGACTGAACTAGATTAATTTGTGGAAAATTATTTAAATTACATAGAACCCAGAACTAGCAGCAATTGAAAATATTTTCTAGATAAAAATTTCTACTTGCAAAGGATAAAGAGAGTAGTTGACTATGACAAGTTTTACTGGTGGCACGTAATAAAATTAAGCAAAAGTATGTTTTTAAATGATGTGCTTTTAAAATCTGGTTTTCTTAGGTTGGTGTGATCTGAATGAATTCTTACATTTCCTCAGCCCCCTCATTGTGAGAATCAAAATAATTTATGTTTGTGAAAGTGCTTTACAAGATGCAAAGTTCTTTATAAATAGAAAAGTTCCTACACTCTGAGACACCTGTAGAACAGCAGTTATGTTACTGTCTCAAGACATCAGTTCACACATTTTATAACACACCTTGAAGCAATTGGAAATGCCTACGATAGTGAGAAAACCAGAGATGGTCTCCCAACTGAAGGGGCAATAAATCTTTGATCACCATGCTACGAATATCAACTCTTACGTCAGGTAACAGCTGGGAAACCACTTTCTTTGATTTATGTATATATTGAACAGTCAACATTGAAATTATGGAAGAAAATAATGTCTTGTCTTTGAAATCTTGACAGATCCATTATGCTATCATTTAGGAAAGTAGCTTACAAACTGATCACACTAACCCATAGAAAACTATACAGATTATCCCATAGCTTGTATTTATCACATAAAGCCATGGAATTATCATGCAATGCATAAATTCTGCACTGGCATAAAGGAGAAGATGAAGTTAAAAAAAAGTTAGGGATATTCTATGGACTGTGATAACTACCAATATGTATTAACCACTTTTCTTTGCATCAAGGAACAATTGATAGCAAAATTGTTTCCATGTTTCTCTGTTGAAGAAAAGGTCTCCTAGCAATAGCAGGAAACTTGTCCAAAGAGCTTTACTGTTTTTTCAAAGTGAGCATACCAAATCACCTGCTAAGAAACTAAATGAAAGCTTTGTGGAGAGACACTAAGCAAATAAGTTAAACATGATTATATCACAATTAAGGCCAAATGCAATGCAAAAGAGAAGCTATAAATTACATCATTTGATCCCTTTGTAGAGAATTAGGGTATATTCTTTATTTCTCATTCCAGTCATTTCACCTCCACTCTGCCTTATTTGGAAAGACGCTCGGGAAATTATATATATATTCTCAACCAAACTGATTCTAATAATATATTTTCATGCATTATAAGCCCTAAACATGAGCAGTTTATTTAAATTTAAAACATGGAAGGCAAATTTCATGTGTTCTCTGTGAATCTACATAGAAGTAGGACAACCACAGTAAAGGGTGAGTAAAGTGTTTTGTGATTTAAGAACAAGGACTATTTCTTCTTATTTTTTTTTAAAAAAAGGTTTATTGGTTTTAGAAAGACAGAGGAAGGAAGAAGGAGAGGGAGAGAGAGAGAGAGAAACATCAGTGTGAGAGAGAAACATTGATGGGCTGCCCCTGTGAGCCCCCTACTGGGGACCAAGCCAGCAACCCTGGTATGTGCCCTGACTGGGAATCGAACCAGCGACCTTTTGGTGCATGAGATGATGCTCAGCCACGCCAGCCAGGGCACAAGGGGTCTTTCTTAAAGATGAAAATCATCAAGTACTGAAGAATGGATGCAAAGAGTGTTGAAAGAGAAAGTCATCTGAAGCCAGAGAAGTGGGTAAATAAAATCCTGGTGATGAGAACTAATAAAGTAGACACTGGGATTCTGTCAAAGCAGCATTAGAGAGCTCAGAGGAAGGACTTCCAAAGCTCAGTGGGTAACAGTTGATAGAGAGCTTTGAAAGCCTGACTTGGAAAATTTTATATGACAATTAAAAAAATTATCCTATTTGTTTCCTTGCCATTGGAGTCAAATTCACAAAGAAGTCAGACCGAAAAAGACAAAAACCGTATGATGTCACTCATGTGGAATATAAAACAAAAAAGAAATAAATCAACAAACGAAATGCAAACAAACTCATAGATACAGACAACAGATTGGTGGGTACAGAGAGGAAGGGGTGGGGGAGGGCAAACCGGGTAAAGGGAGTCAAATATATGGTGAAGGATGAGTCTTAGACTTTGGTGTCGAGCACACTATAATATGTACAGCTATTGAGTTGTAATGTTGTATACTGGAAACTTACATGATGTGATTAACCAATGATACCTCAAAAAAAATTATCCTAGACTTTATAGCATGGAACTAATATCTTCTAAGCTGTATGAGAATAAAATCATTCTGCTGTGAATCAGAGAGGGAGACAATCAGGATATTGTGCATAGGAGGATACTGGGATACTTCAAACAAAAACAAATAAGGATCTAGATTGAGGTCATGGCTTTAAAAATGAAAGAACAATTGTAAGTGTAGGATAACAAAGAGAAATGAGAAAGACAATGGGCCAACAGGATTTCCAAGTAAGATACACAGTGAAGAGGGAGGCATATTTTGTTTCATGTTTTATTGACTATATAGATTTCTCACCTGGTAGTATTAAAGAGTCCAAATATCAATGGGTTCTTATGATCTCTAGTATGCAGCAGAAAAACATCCTCTGAAAAATTAAAGGTCATTACATTACTTAGTATTTGTAGTCCTCTTTGCATGTAAAGAAAATCATTATAGATTGTATGATATAAATTTTCATGTACAGCCATGCAACCATGACCGAATCACAACAGAGTGAAACCCTTGGCTCTTCAGCATGGCTTCGAGCTGAGCCTTAAGGAACTAAGAGGTGCCGACTCTAAGCTAATGAAAGGGTCTTTTTTGATCCTGTAACTCCTTTGCCCCACCACGTGGACCTGGCCAAAATGAAAAGAACAGAAACTTGCTCTAAGTTAGATAGAAGTCAAACACTGCAGAAAGCAAGCTTTCCATCTGCGCTAGAGGCAGTGACGATTACAGAGAGGCATATACATCAAAGTAAAATTTAATTCTCCCAGTATTTACCTAATTCATCAAAATACGTATCAATTCCATTCAGTCCTGGTACTGAGCAAACCAGTCTCGCTTTTAGGAAAGTGCTCCACTTATTCACCAGTATTCTCTGTCCCCCCACATCATTCTGTGAAAAACAAAAAACAGGTAAGTGGGGAGCTAAAGACTTTTACCAAAAACAGATCTTGTATTATTAAACAAACATGAGATTTTTCATTTAAAGTAGGAAATTTAGCCCAGCTGGCGTGGCTCCAGGAGATCGAGGTTGGATTCCGGGTCAGGGAACAGGCCCGGGTTGAGGGCTTGATCCCCAGCAGGGGGTGTGCAAGAGGCAGCCAATCAATGACTCTCTCATCATTGATGTTTCTATCTCTCTCCCTCCCCCTTCCTCTCTCTGAAATCAGTAAAGATATACTTTTTTTAAAAAGTGGAAAATTTAGCATAAACTTCAAGTAATAACAGATACAATTCTCCATAAAGTTTTTTAGGTTTGCACATTCTACCTGGTCGGTGTACTTTCACTCTGGTCCACTAAATATACTTTATAAGTATTAAATGATTTTAATAGAGTGGTCTCTCCTAAGTAAAGCACAGTGGTACCTCGGTTTTCGAACGTCTCTGTTGGCGAACATTTTTGTTTACGAACGCCGTAAACAGTAAATGCTTCGGTTTTCGAACCGGCCTTGGAAGTCGAACATGCCACATGCTTCCACTGAGGGCAAGATCCTGAGGCCCAGCTGCCGGCTGTGGATCCCTCAGTTTTCCAACATTTCAGAACTCTAACAGCCTTCCGAATGGAGTACATTTGAAAGCCGAGGGACCACTGTAGTGGCTTTTATGATACAGCAGCCTTTATTTTTTTAACTGAGAAATAAACTGCTTATCTCATAAATATAGAAGCATACATTCCTTTTTCTCCTTTTAGAATAAAGAACTTCAAATATACACACATAAACACAAACACAGATAATATATATATAATATATATTTGTACACACATACTCTATATGATACATATAGTGACATATCTGCAAATCTCTTCTTAAATGTACTCATTCAATATCTTCTTAAATATCAGATGTACTTTTACATTTGCAATACTACTAGCATTCCCTAAATATATATTGCTACTTCCGTTGATTTTAAATGTTTTCTGTCTATTTGGATACCCAACAAACTACAGATGTTTTTTTCTACAGAATCAACCAACTGCATTGTTGAAACATACTTATGTAAACTGCTTAGAATGCAGACCAAGGAAACTAAAAATCTTGTTTAAATTAATTTTTTAAAATAGAGCTCAAACTTCTGTTGGGGAAGAAGTATAGCTTGATTATGGACTATTTCTTTAGTATGACTTTGAAAGTGGGGAAATCATACAAAATGCAAAGCTCTCCTAAGAGAATTTTCACTGAATATGAAGTATACAGATCAGATAGTAAATGCAAACATTAAGAAGCCTACACAATAGTGGGAAATATTTTAAAGTAGAAACCTACTATAAATTAACAAAGGCATGACCATAAGTTGTGAGATAAGCAAGCTTAATGAGAGAGAAATTCACTTCTCACCATGCAAAGTCGCCCCACTCTGGTGTAAATTGCATGGGCATTGTTTTCTGCCTCCAGCGCCTTCTCAGTAAAAAAGAAATACACTTTGTTGTCATCTCGGTCTTCATTGTCAGGAATCATATATGAGCCTACAAATTTTGGTTCTACAGAAAGAAAGAAAATAACACTGAAATAGTTATTACAGCAAAATAAGTTATATCACATGAATGCTTCAGTTTAGCTTTCATTATTTATGAAAAAATATTTTCCTTGAAATTTTATATTAAACATTAAAAATTGTGTAGCTATCTCCATTTTATTTGCAATAAACATTTTAAAAAATATTACAGGACATTTTTTAAAAGAAATATTAGAGGACAATTAGAAAATAAAATAGTCAAGTTTAAAAAAAAATTGAACACCATACATTATAGACTTGAAATGCTTCAAAGAAGGACAGATTGGAGGCACCATAATGCTAGTCTCCATAAATAATTCCTTCCCATACATATAAAAAGCGAATGTAAACATATGTAACATGTTTTAGTAAAGAAGTCTATTTTTTAATTCATAAATTATTTAGTAGTCTAATTCATGAAAGACCATTTTAATTTTAAAATAGAAAATTTAACTTTGATTGATATGGTAGGTCAAATATTTTAATAATAACATGCTGCCAATAATGATGATGCACTTTAAACCTTAATAAAAAGGTGGAAATCAATGAAAACGTTCACCATGAAATGATGTTTTAGTACCTACAGTGTGTCAAAATATGTAAATAATTCCTTACAAGGTCGTCTGTGTCAGTGAATGGCTAGTGATTTTCCTGGAGTTTTATTTGTCTCTAAAGTGTAATGTGATCCTATTAAAACACGCAAATCAAATCAATCAATTCATCGAAAATAATACCAATTGATAAAACAACTTATTGGATAAAAGGGTTTTTTCCTTTTCCTATATTTGCTTTGCTTTCTCCATTTAAATCTTGGTATCTAAACATTGCTGTAAGTGTAATTTGGTTTTATAATAAAGACAAATCATTTTGATATAAAACAATATACACATATATATAATATTTGAATTCACAAATTTTGCTAATTTTAAAAACCCTGAATTTTGTAAGGTCTATAAATCGCATTTGTAGTTGCTACCATCACATGGCAAACGCCCGAGCTCGTGCCCCACGCTCCCCCC